CTGTCGCCGGCGAGCCGCGGAAAAAAGGATGGGGCCACTAAGCAGAAGCAGCGCTCGGGTGGCGAAAAAGGGGCAGGCGACGCACCACGGCACCGCAAGCGAAGCGAAGAGAAGAGAAGAGAACGAGGAGCCGACGAGAAGACGAGGACGACGAAAGGAGGGAGAAGCAAAACTCACGCAGCGCCGCTCAGAGGCGGAGGGCCGAGTCGGTGAACGATAGGGACACGTCAACCTCCAGGTTCATGCGCAGTGAATGGAGCGGACGTGTGGCCTGAATCCGCGCCATCAGGTCCCAAGCGTCCAAGGCCGTGAACCTGCCAGAAACGAGCGTCGAATACCGCGATCATGCACCAGCGGGGAGAAGACCCAAATAAAGGCCCGCGCCAGCGAAAAGCGTGCCCAGGAAGTGCGCGGAGGCGCCAGTCGCGGGCCGCACCGAAGTACCGTGAGCTGTCCATCTTGCCGTCCACCGGTGGGGAGACGCGAAGCGTCTAGAATTACCGGGAAGTCCCACGTCAGAGTGCGACTTATATATATATATATATATATATATATATATATATATGTGTGTATATATATATGTGTGTAAATACAATATGTCAGGGGTCCCGCGCGAGAAAGCGATGTGGGACATCCCTTTGAAGAGGTATCAGGCGGGAGCCGTTGTTTTTGGTAGCCCACGGCCCCACAAACCAGTTTGGTGACATCTCACTTTCCCATGTAAAGAACAAGGTGCGAGCCACGGGAGAAGCACTATATTTTGACGAATCGAACTTTTTACAGGGCACGGGGTAGGAAATGAGGCTTCAGCAACATCAGCAGCAACATCAACAGTCATGTTAAGACTGCTCGCTCTTACCTTCTCGCATGTCACTCAGCACGTATATCCCGAACCCTCGGTACCCGCCAGGTTCGTCTTCGATCGTACCCCCTTGGGCGTACATCTTCCCTGCCTGCCGCGTGTAGTTGGCGCAGCTCCTGGCACAGGGGAGGTGAGGACTGACGGAGGAATGAGGGACAAGAGAAATTAGCAGGAGGGGGGCTAGGAGCAGAAACCACGTGGCAGAATCAGACGGGCAGATCGGGCGGGTAGACCCTAACGCGCGAGGAGAAGGCGGGCCCAAGCGGCCAGGTCGACCAGGCGGGTTGCCGAAGCGAGAGCATGAATCGCAAGGAAGTCTCGAGCGATAGTAGTGCGATTCCCAATTAAATCAGAAGAAAGGCCCGAGCGACAGTGTGATTCCTGAGGGTTGGAGGCGCGACGCTTGAACAAAATGCGAGGAAGTCCCACGCGAGAGCGCGATTTCTGCATGCATACATTGATTGTGAGGATGTCCCGCGCGAATGCGCGATTTGGGAATACATAGTAGGAAAGTATCCAGCGGGAGCCGCTGTTGTTGCAAACCTGTGGCCAAAGAACCAATTCTGAGACTCCAAGCTTTCCCTGTTAAAGATAAGGGCGCGAGCCCAATACAAAACGTGCCCCGGAGGGGTGTATCAACAACGCTTATTTTTCAGAAATGAAAACTAAACAACAACAACAACAACAACAACAACAACAACAACAACAACAACAACAACAACAACAACATCAGAAACAACAACAACAACATCAACAACAACAACAACAGCAACAACAACAACGACGACGACGACGACGACAACAACAAAAACAGCAACAGCAACAGCAGTACTAATGAAGACAGCGACGACAAGCACAACAAACAACAAACACAACAGCACCAACTAATACAGCAGCAGCGACAACACCAGCGCCAACAACGCCACCACCAACAACAACATCATAAACAGTATCAATCACAATCACCACAACAACCACAAACACAATATGAACGACGACAACAATCACAACGACACCAACAACAACACCATCAACAACAACATCATCAACACCATCAACAACAACCATCATTTTACGACTATTCGCTCTTGCTGGCACTCGCGTCTTGCATTTCGTATATATCCCAATCCCTCGATACCCGCCCACTTCGTCTTCGATCGCACCCACGTTCGGGGGGAATATGTTTCTTGTCGGCCACTGACTGAAACGCGAAGAACTCTCAAGCGAGACGAGAGCGCCGTTCCCGAGTTCCGGGGCCTCTCTGGCCAAGGTCTTCCGAAATCCATCCTTAGAAATATCTAACAGGAGCCCTTATCGCCGTGTCTGGGCCTCCATCGACTGGCGTGACATACGAGAAAGTCTCGAGCGAGAGTGCCACTCTTGAGTTCGGGAGCCTCTGGCTAGGGCCTCTGCGAATACATCTGAAGGAAATATCGAACGGGAGCCCTCGTCGTCGTAGTTGGGCCTCCACCAGTAAAGTATCGAGCGAGAGCGCCTTTCCTGAGTTCGGGGGCCTTCCTGGCCAGGAGCTCTCGGAGTAAATCGTGAGGGAAGTATCGAGCAGAAGCACTTGTCATCGTGGCTGGGCCCCCGCCAACTTGACTGAATTGCGAGGAAGTCTTGAGAGAGAGTGCCGCT